CTCCCCCCCCCCGCGAGTATCGCAGGTCCCGCTTCTTGTTTATTTCTGTTTCTGAAGACTGAAACAGTTTGGGGTCCATGTGGCTCAGTGGAAGAACCTCTGCTTTGCATGCAGAAGGTACCAGGTTCAATCCGCAGAAGCATCTCCAGTTAAAAGGACCAGGCGATGTGAAAGGCCTCCAGCTGAGACCCTGGAGAGCAGCTGCAAGTCCGAGTACACAATACTGGCCTTGATGGATCAATGGTCTGCTCCAGTACAAGCTCCCTTCACGCGTGTTCATGTGTGTAGTCAAAACCTTTTAACTAAAATTTACAGATGGAACAGAATATATACCATCTTTAGCAACTGTTCTTGCTTGTTTTATAAAAATTCATTGCCAGTGATAGAAAGATACAAATTTGCACAAGTAAAGAGCTACAGACATGAATTTTACATACTTTTAAAACCTAAGAAATAGTCAACATCCTTTTGGGTTCTGACACACAGATACATAGTTCTCAGGTTAGGAGGATTCACGGTATCCAGCCTGCAAAATTAATCTGCCCAAGGCCCATTACCAAGAAAATGGAACAGAATCTCCATGTTCAGATGCTTCATACCTCTAAATGTCAGATAATTAATAGGGGATGGCTACTAACTTCATGGTTTGCATTTCAGCTCTACAGAAGCATACAACAGACAATTTTTGGAAACAGAGTGCTGGACTGGGTTTATCTTTGGCCTAAGCCAGCACCAAAACTCTTTTTAGCTTCGTTTTGAAAACAGCAGTCTAAGTAACCGTGTGTGTGTGTGTGTGTGTGAGTGTGAAAGGAGCTTGCAGATACTAAAGAATGGATTTGTGTATCAGTGTTACCTTAAATTCTCTGCTGTTGAGAAGTAATCCAGGAGCAAAACTCCTAAATGCATGTATTTCCCAGCAATTTAGGACAGCTCTACTTCTAACAGCTGTAAACCAGAAATCCAGGAAGTGGACCCACTCACTATTGGAACGCATCCATAAATCATTGGATATTACACTATCCTTTTATCTATTTGTTTACCCCATCTTTCTCCCCATTAGGCTGCTCTTTCCTCCTTTTTATCCTCACAACAATCTCGTGAGGTAGGCTAGGCTGAGAGTGTGGGACTGGTCCTCACACATTTCACTTTCTGAGTAGCCCACACAGGAAAATGCAAGTACAAGTCACTGATCTAGCACGATACTAACAATATGTGCTTGCGATCTAGGGTGGCGAGCTTTGGGGTTGGGAAATACCTGCAGATTTTGAGGGGTGAAGCCTGAGGAGGGCAGGGTTTGGGAAAGGGAGGGACCTTGGCAGGGTACAATGCCATACGGTCCACCCTCCAAAGGAGTCATTTCCTCCAGGCGAACTGATCTCCAAGAGATCTCCAGCCACCACCTGGAGGCTGGCAGCCTTTTTGCAACCTCCACGCTAGAGAAACGGCTGCATTTCTTTCCCGTCACTCCGGTTAACGCCATAACATCTTAATAAAAACACTAGAGTTGCCAACCTCCAGGTGGGGCCTGGGGATCTCCCGCTTTTACAACTGATCTCCAGCTGACAGAGATCAACTCCCCTGGAGAAAATGGCTGCTCTGAAGGGTGGACTCTATGGCATTGGACCCTGCTGAGGCCCCTCCCCTCCCCAAACCCCGCCCTCTCCCGGCTCCACCCCCAAAGCCTCCAGGTATTTTCCAACCTAGACCTGGCAACCCTAAAAAACACAGAAGCTCTTGTCTGCAAGAAGCAGAACAACACGGCAACCCCGGCTCAAATGAAACTCCCGCTTATTTGCAACGACATCCCCACTTAGGGTTGCCAGGTCAGGGGGGATGGAGAAGTAGAGTTGCCAGATCCAAGCTGGGAAACTCCTGGAGATCTGGGGATGGAGCCTGGGGAGGACAGAGACCTCGGTGGGGTACAAGGCCATAGAGTCCGCCCTCCAAAGCATCCATTTCCTCCAGGGGAACTGATCTCTGCAGTCTGGAGATCAGCTGTAATTCCAGGGGATCCCCCAGGTCCCACCTGGAGGCTGGCATCCCTAAGGCCGGTGTACTTACAATCCCAGCTCGGCAGAAAGATGAGGCGTTTGACGAAGGAAGCTGGCAAAAAGGCGAAAAGAGGATCCGGAAATGTTTAAGAGAAAGGGTGCAAAGCAAAACCGCTGCAGCCATCGATGCCCCAGCAGCGTCGGGCGAGCCCTTCCCCTTTGCACCGCATCACATGGGAGCTCCCCGGGTCATGTGAACGGGCGCGGGCTGATGATGAGCGCCGCCTGGTCTCCTCCTCGCTTTCTCGTCAGCGTGCAAGTGGCTCAAACGGGGATTCCCGGTAGGACGCAGTGTGGAAGTCGCCCTTGGCCGGGTCTCCTCTAGGAAGAGGGGAAAGAAAGAGTCCAGGTTCTGTGGTGCTCGGTAGGGGAAAGCAAAAAACCCTCTTTTCAGCCCCCTTTTTTGCAGCACTAGAGATATTCCGGGGGTGGGGAGCAGTGTTCCCTCTAAGCTGAGTCAGTGTGAGCTAGCTCACCGTTTTTTTAGCCTCCGGCTCACACATTTTTGTCTCAGCTCAGGAAGGGTGGCTCCAGAGCAGCAGCCAATTCACTGGCTCACAACTTTAATGCCAGTAGCTCCCAAAGTAGAATTTTTGCTCACAGGACTCCACAGCTTAGAGGGAACATTGGGTGGGGAGAGCGGGTAAAGGTTCAAGCGCTGAAGAAAGAGGTTGCGCCCGTGCTGGAGTCTCATCCCCACCGTCTGATGGAAGAGAGCTTTTGCAGAGCTCTCCGGAGTCCAGTCGCAGGCGCGATCCTATGAGCTGGGGCTACTGAGCTCACCTTCCAGAGAGAGAGAACCTGGGATGATTTCTAGCGGGGAAAATAAAATTCAAACCGGGAATCCAGGATCGGCGTCAGGAATCGACAAAACGCGCGCAAAAAAACCACAGGCTTTCCTGAAGCAGGGCTCACCTCTTCGTGACGTGTGTGTGAGGAAGGAAGTACTCTGTGCATGCTCAGAGTCACGTTAATGATTAGGGTCTGTCGTTAACTGTGGGACTGAGGCCTCCTTGCTTACCAGGACTGAACTAATAGTTGTCAACTCGGGCTTGGGCTATTCCTGGGTAGGATGGCCAACCTCCAGGTGGGGGCTGGAGAATTCTTGAAATTACGCCTGATCTCCAGACTAGGAATCACTTATTCATTAAATGGTTTGGAAGGTGGGCTGTATGACATTATCCCCTACCAGGGTCCTTTCCTTCCTAAACTTCTCTCTCTAAAGCTCCATCTCGAATCTCCAAGAGGGGAAAGAAAGAGTCCAGGTTCTGTGGTGCTCGGTAGGGGAAAGCAAAAAAACCCCTATTTTTAGCCCCCCTTTTTTGCAGCACTAGAGATATTCCGGGGGTGGGGAGCAGTGTTCCCTCTAAGCTGAGTTAGTGTGAGCTAGCTCACCGTTTTTTAGCCTCCGGCTCACACATTTTTGTCTCAGCTCAGGAAGGGTGGCTCCAGAGCAGCAGCCAATTCACTGGCTCACAACTTTAATGCCAGTAGCTCCCAAAGTAGAATTTTTGCTCACAGGACTCCACAGCTTAGAGGGAACATTGGGTGGGGAGAGCGGGTAAAGGTTCAAGCGCTGAAGAAAGAGGTTGCGCCCGTGCTGGAGTCTCATCCCCACCGTCTGATGGAAGAGAGCTTTTGCAGAGCTCTCCGGAGTCCAGTCGCAGGCGCGATCCTATGAGCTGGGGCTACTGAGCTCACCTTCCAGAGAGAGAGAACCTGGGATGATTTCTAGCGGGGAAAATAAAATTCAAACCGGGAATCCAGGATCGGCATCAGGAATCGACAAAACGCGCGCAAAAAAACCACAGGCTTTCCTGAAGCAGGGCTCACCTCTTCGTGACGTGTGTGTGAGGAAGGAAGTACTCTGTGCATGCTCAGAGTCACGTTAATGATTAGGGTCTGTCGTTAACTGTGGGACTGAGGCCTCCTTGCTTACCAGGACTGAACTAATAGTTGTCAACTCGGGCTTGGGCTATTCCTGGGTAGGATGGCCAACCTCCAGGTGGGGGCTGGAGAATTCTTGAAATTACGCCTGATCTCCAGACTAGGAATCACTTATTCATTAAATGGTTTGGAAGGTGGGCTGTATGACATTATCCCCTACCAGGGTCCTTTCCTTCCTAAACTTCTCTCTCTAAAGCTCCATCTCGAATCTCCAGGTGTTTTTGAACCCAAAGTTGACAACCCTGTTCCTGGAGATTTGAGGGCAGTGCTTGGGAAAGGCAGACTTTGGGGTGGAGAGGGATGCCATAGAGTCTGAAGATGCCATTTTCTCCAGAGGAACTGATCTCTGTAGTTGGGAGATCAGTTGTAATTCCAGGACAACACCAGGCCCCACCTGGAGATTCACAATGTCGCTTGTGACTCCAGAGACTTTGATGACAGGATTGAGACAGTTGTGTGTCCGTCAATGTTCCCTCTAAGCTCTGGAGTCTTGTGAGCAAAAATTCTACTTGGTGAGCTACTGGCATTAAATTTGTGAGCAAGCGGTTTGGCTCCTGCACAAATTAGTTTGTTCTGGAGCCATCCTTTCTGAGCTAAGACGACAATGTATGAGCTGGAGGCTAAAGTACTATGAGCTAGCTCACACTAACTCAGCTTAGAGGGAACACTGGTGTCCATTAAACTCTGCCATCCTTCCACAAAGCTGTGGGTAGCTTCTTTGAGGGCCAGTTTGGTGTAGTGGTTAGGAGAATGGACTCTAATCTGGGAGAACCAGGTTTGATTTCCCACTTCTCCATATGCAACTCCTGGTGTGACCTTGGGTCACTTACAAGTTCTTTCAGAGCTGTTCTCTCAAGGGCAGTTCTTGGGAGAGCTCTCTCAGCCCCATCTACCTCACAGGGTGTCTGTTGTGGGGGGGGGGAAGGGAAAGGAGATTGTAAACTGCTTTGAGACTCCTTCGGGTAGTGAAGGGCGGGGTATAAATCCAATCTCTTCTCTTCTTTGTGTGAAAAGCCTTTTTTATTCTTTGCAAAATGGGCTTCAGATTGCAGGCAGTTGCAGGGAATCAGAAAAGGAAATCCCAAGTGCTTTCGGAGGATTGACGCTTTGGTCTCTAGCAGCCCAAATCAACAAGAGTTGCAGCACTTTAAAGACCCACAATAACGTTTTCTGACATACGCCTTTGTGGACGAGAGTCCACTTCGTTTTTGCATTAGAAGAAGTGGACTGTAGTCCATGTTGGCATGGCATTTCACTGGCCTTTAAGGTGCCTTGTTGCTGATTCTTACCCAAGTCTTTGTTTGCAAGCTCCTGTGTAGAGTCATATTTTCCCACCTCCATTTGTATGAGGTTACAGACTGTGCTCTACCCACCTAAATAGGACCAACTTGGGTCTCTTCCCTCCCTGTGTTGTTTACTTAGGGTTGCTGGGTCCCTTCACGCTCAGATCCTGTTTTCTATAGGAGGGGGCTCCAGTTTGGGAGAGAGGCGGGTGATGCCTGGTGGAAGAGGACACAGACTGTGTTGGAGGCAGAGGATGGCACAAGCCTATTAAGGGGAGAAGCCTGGCTGTGTTATGGTGCTTTGTGGGTCTGGGGTTAGTATTCTGGGTGGCCAAGATGTTGTTCAGTGTTTTGCTCTGGGGTTAGTCAGTTTTTGGTGTAGTGGTTAAGTGCACGGACTCTAATCTGGGAGAACCGGGTTTGATTCCCCACTCCTCCACTCACAGCTGCTGGATGACCTTGGGCAAGCCATAGTTCTGTCAGAGCTGCTCACTCAAGGGCAGTTCTAGAAAGATCTCTCTCAGCCCCACCTAAGGTGTCTGTTGTGGGGAGGGGAAGAGAAAGGAGTTTGTAAGCCGCTCTGAGACACCTTTGGGTAGTGAAGTGCGGGGTATAAATCCAATCTCCTCCTCCTCCTCCTTCTCCTGCTGCTTCTTCTGCTGCTGCTTCTTCTGCTTCTTCTTCTTCTGGTGGTGCTGCTGCTCAGGTGCTGACGTGCTGTAGCTGTCTTCAAAACAAAACAGAGGCTTTTTTGGGGACTTGGGGATAATGCTCCCTTTCCAGATTAGTGAGGAGAGATGCTTTTGAGGTGTGCAGTCTGAGTGTTACTTATGGACTGTGTCGGCTATTGTGATATCAACAGTGTCTATTGTGCTGTATGGAAGTGTCATGTTCTAGAACATGGAACGATGGGGCCTGCCAGTTCTAAAGGGTGAAATGCTAGAGTAAAACAAGACGTGTTCATTGTAAGAGACGTTTCTGATGGGTCAGTGGTAGATGGTGGAGAATGGGGAACTTATCCCAGGATTAGAGGCTTCCATAGATGTGGTCCACTTTCAGGCAGTTTAGGATTGTGGAAAGCATTGTTTACTCTGCTGGTTGAGAATGTTATGGATACTCATTAATGTAGTAGCACCTTTCTTATAGAACAAGCTGTCAAGCTGTAAAATGGAGATTCCTCAGGGAGAGGGCTAGAACTAGGGATGCCAGCCTCCAGGTAGGACCTGGAGATCCCCCAGAATGACAGCTCATCTGCAGAATACCGAGATCAGTTCCCCTGGAGAAGATGGATGCTTTGGAGGGCGGACTCTGGGGCATTGTACCCGACTGAGGTCCCTCCCCTCCCCAGGCTCCACTCCCAAATTTCCCAGAATTTCCCAACTTGGATTTGGCAAATTTGCCCCCCACCCATCCCCAGCTGATGGCCGGGGGGACCTGGCAACCCCAGCTAGCACATTGTTTTTCTGAAAGGGTCCCAACCAGCCAAAAGTTTTTATGTCACTATATGGTTTTCTGCCGTAAAGTGCTGGCTGGTGTAGCCTATATCTGGGATAAAATGAGGTAAGTGCCCTAAAGCTTGCACCAGAGTTAGTGGCAAAGTATTTCATGAGGGCAGAAAATTTAAAATACAAGGAAAGAGTATAGTTTATTATTATTATTGTTGTTGTTGTTGTTGCGTGCTTGTTCTTTATACATGTGTTGAGTTATTCTCACATTACATTCAGTGCAGAGCCAGTTTGATGTAGTGGTTAAGTGTGCGGACTCTAATCTGGGAGAACCGGGTTTGATTCCCACGCCTCCACTTGCACCTGCTGGGTGGCCTTGGGTCAGTCACAAGCTCTGGCACAGCTGTCCTTGAAAAAGAGCAGTTTGTGTCAGAGTTCTCTCAGCCCCACCCACCTCACAGGGTGTCTGTTGTGGGGAGGGGAAGGGAAAGGAGTTTGTAAGCTGCTCTGAGACTCCTTCGGGTAGTAAAGGGCGGGGTATAAATCCAATCTCTTCTTCTTCTTCTGTGTGATTGAAACCCCACATTCATCAAGGGAACTGGTCTCTGGTTTCACTGGCTCTTTCTTACAAGTTGTATGTGCGCTCATTGTAATGTACCTACATGCATGTTGTGTGTTTTCTTATTGTAGCACGTGAACAGGGCTTAAATGTGGATGCTTGCTGAAGTGGGTGTGTTGACCAACGTTCAACCATTATGACTTTGCTATAGTGCTGTGCTACAGTGTCATGGCAACAAATCCCACCCATAGTTCTCAATGTGTCGCCATCATAGTGCAGTGTGGGCGGAGCTTCCTCCAAGGTGCTATGAGCCTTGGATACAGTCCTTTCTCCATAGTCCCCACAGCAAGTGATAATAGAATGTAATCCATATGTTTGAAGAGTTAAAGTGGGATGGAAATGCAGATAGTTCATACCTGTTCTTTGGGCAGGTATTTCCTGGGACTTTAAAGGCCCAGTCCTAAAACATATAGCATGCGCAGTGTAATAAATGACAATTACCAGCCAGAGTTTGACTTTGCAAGGTATGTCTATTTTAATTGCATTTTAGAAGAAGAGATTGCATTTATACCCCACCCTTCACTACCCGAAGGGGTCTCAGAGCAGTTTACAATCTCCTTTCCCTTCCCCTCCCCACAACACCCTGTGAGGTAGGTGGGGCTGAGAGAGAGCTCTTTCGAGAACTGCTCTTTCCAGAACAGCTCCGAGAGAACTGTGACAGACCCAAGGTCACGCCAGCAGCTGTATGTGGAGAAGTAGTGAATCAAACCTGGTTCTCAAAAGATTAGAGTCCGCGCTCCTAACCACTACACCCAACTGTATATTTTAATTTGCATTAGAGGTACTTGCATTAGGAAGCAGACTTTCACTGTCTAAGGCGGTGGTTCTCAAAATATTTGAGATGGGAACCTGCTTCTAACATTGTATTTGTTGGATAAAAGTAAAGGTAAAGGTTCCTTCGCTCGAAAGCCAGTCGAATCCGACTTTAGGATTACGGTGCTCATCTCTGTTTCAAAGCCGAAGAGCCAGCCAGCGCTGTCCGAAGACATTTCCGTGGTCATGTGGCTGACATGACTAAACACCAAGGTGCACGGAACGCTGTTACCTTCCCACTGAAGTGGTACCTACTTATCTCCTTGCAATTCCTTGCTTTCGAACTGCTAGGTTGGCAGGAGCTGGAACTAGAGACGGGAGATCACTCCGTCATGCGGCACACTCGGGTCTCGAGCTGCTGAACTACCGACCTTCCACAGCCTGCAGTTCAGCGTCTTAACCACTTGAGCCACCGCAGCCAGTTCTAATTTCCCTGACCAGGCTGTCCCAGGCCGTCCTGATCTTCTCAGATCTTAGCTGCTAAGCAGGGTCAACTGTTGTTAGTACTCGGATGGGAGACCGCCAAAGGTGCCCAGGATTGCTTTTCAGAGACAGGCCATGGCAAACCGCCTCTGATCATCTCTTGCCTTGAAACCCCGTCAGGGTCGCCCTAAGTCGGCTGCGACTTTCCACCACCAGTTTCAAATTTACTGTAGTTTTCTAGAGCTGCCTGGAAAGTAATTGCACCCTGCTTTCCCCCTTGCAAACATAAAATGCAGGAATGTCACATCGTTTAACAATAAACAAGTTTGTGGTTTATTTTTCATGTTTACTGTTTGTAAATATATAGCACTAGGCTGTGTTGCTTGGCCTTTTGACATTGTGTGCAAAAATTTGCCATTGAGCCTTCTCTTCTAGCTCAACCATTCCTTCACCCCGCCCCTGCCTCATGACCGACTTGTGAGTTCAAACCCACTTTCGGATCCTAACCGACACATTGAGAGATGCTATGTGTGCCTGTGAAGTGCTGTCAGGTTGCAGCCTGTTTATGGTGACCCCATGGGGTTGGTAGGTACAACAGTAGGCGAGCCACGCTATAATCCAACAAAAAGTACTAAGTATGTGGCTCCAGAGTAGCACGCATAAAACTAATTACGAGGAATTTCACATTACCCTTTTTAACCCATTTTGAAGCCCCTGTGCATCAACTACAGTCATCAGGCAGCCATCTGTTGGATGTCCTACCACTCAGGGTGGCCCATCTGGTGTTGACCAGAGTCCGAGCCTTTTCCACTGGGGCTCTGTGGAGTGGGCTCCCTGAAGAGGTGGGAGGGACCCCCTCCTTGGAGATCTTCAGGCGGTGCTGCAAGGCCTACTTGTTTGCCAGGGATTTTGAGGGAGCTTGAATTGGCAGTCATTTTTAGCTGGGGTGGGGAGAGATTTGGGTTTTTTATTTTTGGTTTTAATTTTTTTTAATGATTTATTCGGGTTAGAATGGATAAAAGGAAGTACTTCTTCACCCAAAGAGTGATTAACACATGGAATTCACTGCCACGGGAGGTGGTGGCGGCTACAAGCGTGGACGGTTTCAAGAGGGAACTGGAGAAACATATGGAGCTGAGGTCCATCAGTGGCTATTAGCCACAAGGTATAGATAGGGACTCTCAGTCTGGGGCAAGTGATGCTCTGTATTCTTGGTACTTGGGGGCGGGTGACAGTGGGAGGGCTTCTAGTGTCCTGGCCCCACTGGTAGACCTCCTGGTGGCACCTGGTGTTTTTGGCCACTGTGTGACAGAGTGTTGGACTGGATGGGCCATTGGCCTGATCCAACTTTGGCTTCTCTTATGTTCTTATTTGGAAAACGAGGAAAGGTGGGATATAAATGTTTCAATAAATACAATTCGAATGCAGTCATCTTTGAGCAAAATCCCATGCACATTGTAAAGCACAGAGAGGCTGAAATGCAACTGTAAATTTACTTTTTTATATGGGCACCGGTCTCTTAAGATATAAGTGCGTGTAGAGTTTTTCCTGTTTTCCCACATGCACACCAGCAGCTGGAGAAGGAGTGAAAAGTGACACGTGTGAATTCAGCCTTAAACTTACACGTAATCTCTTAAAACTGGACCGATGGGTCTCTGTTCAGCAGATTAGCAGCTATTTTTCTATGTAAATGAGGTCCTGGGGTGGGAGAATTAGCACAACCTTGGCGGCACAATGCAATGGTAGAGCTGTAAAAACATTTTTGTTATTTTCCAGGTGATTAATTCAAGATGCCTGGGGGTTCCACGGTCTCATTCAATGGCATGAACTCATGCCTCTCTTCTCTGAAAACCTGCCAGTCGTACATAAGCTCCGGAATGGATATCACTACAAAAGTCGCTCTTGACCTTGTGGAAAATCATAGTGAGTAGCTGTTGTGTGGAACATTTTTATTCTCCGCATTGTCGAATGCAAATGCAACCCTGGAGAGTGATTTGACGCCACTCTGGCGATAGCTGTTTTTCCTTTTTTGCATGTGCACCTGTGGTGGCTGTCCCACGTAAATCACTGTAATATTTTGAATGACAAATGGAATTTAAATGTAAATATGATAAGAATATTTACATTTAAATTCCATTTGTCATTCAAGGAGCTGCAAGGAGCAAGGTAGATCAGATCTGATATAAACACATGCATTTATTTATTTATATCCCGGTTTTGTCCCTAGGCAGGGAGAAGTGCATGGTGCTTGCATGCTCAGGTCTCTGTCTCAGTGTACATGGATGTTTGATGCTTCTGTGAAGTGGTCACTAATGACTTAGAAAGAGGTCCCCCCCCCAAGTTTGATTCCCCACTCCTCCACATACAGCTACTTGTGTGACCTTGGGTCAGTTACAAGTTGTTTCAGAGCTGTTCTCTCATGAGCAGTTCTCGAAAGAGCTCTCTCAGCCCCACCTACCTCACAGGGTGTCTGTTGTGGGGAGGGGAAGGGAAAGGAGATTGTAAACCTTACTGAGACTCCTTCAGGTAGTGAAGGGCAGGGTATAAATCAAATATCATCTTCTCTCTCTCTCTTACTCACACACACACAAAGCTGCCTTATACTGAATCAGACTTTTGGTCCATCAAGGTCAGTGTTGTCTACTCAGACTGGCAGCCGCTCTCCAGGGCCTTGGGCAGAGGCCTTGCACATCACCTACTACCTGATCTTTTTATCTGGAGATACTGGGGATTGAACCTGGGACCTTCTGCATGCCAAGCAGAGGCTTTTCCACTGAGCCACAGCCGCTCCCACTTGCATCTAGAAAATTGGATATAGGATGCATCTCCATTGCGTGCCTAAATTTTATCTTGTGTGTCCTTGACCCATGTTTTAGACTACTTCCAGGGTTAGCACATCCATCCCCAGTAAGAACTGTAATTCTGTTCTATTATTAATCTTGGTCTTCGTGTGTTTTGTTTGAAACACATGAAGTTGCCATACCTGAGCCAGAACATTAAACCGGGAATCCCCATTCTTATTGAACCTTTGGGTGCTTCTGGACTTTTGAGAATGGGCAGTGGACAATACACTCCCCACATGTCCCCCAGAGAGCACTGCAGTCAGGATCCCAAAACCATCTGGCCCTTCTGGGCCCTAAAGACGTCAGGCTGTCATCCTGGCCTTCTCAGTAGCGGCTTCATGCTGTTGGAACATGCTTCCAGAAGACCTCAGAGCCCTGCGGGACTTTTTACAGTTCTGCAGGGCCTGCCAGACAGAGCACTTCCACCAGGCCTTTAGTTAAGTAGCCGCATCCAATATATCAAGGCCCTGTGCCCAATACCACCACCAACAGTCTGAGCTTCGCCGACTTTACAATCAATTACCGACTTGAGCTGTGGTGGCTCAAGTGGTTAAGACTGCAGGCTGTGGAAGGTCGGTAGTTCAGCAGTTCGAGACCCGGGTGCCGCATGATGGAGTGAGCTCCTATCTCTAGTTCCAGCTCCTGCCAACCTAGCAGTTCGAAAGCAAAAAATTGCAAGTAGATAAATAGGTACCACTTCGGTGGGAAGGTAACAGCGTTCCGTGCGCCTTGGTGTTTAGTCATGCCGGCCACATGACCATGGAAACGTCTTCGGACAGCGCTGGCTCTTCGGCTTTGAAACGGAGATGAGCACCGCAACCCTAAAGTCGGATTCGACTGGCTTTCGAGCAAGGGAACCTTTACCTTTACCTTCTTACCGACTGCATTCACTGTTATGTTGATGCTACCCTGTTCTTGCCATCACCACTTAAATTGTTCACCGGCACCTTATGTTGTTTTTAAGCTTTTAAGCTATTATTTATATTGTTGTTTTAGCAACTGCATTTTATGTAAGCCTGCTCCGGTGGGGAGGGCAGGGTTTAAATCAAATCAAATCAATCAGTCAATCAGTACCATGAAATGGCTGCCATAGGATCCCGGAGCGAATCACAGAATGCTTGGAGGTTCCAAGTCAGATATCCTCCTGCAGTGGAGGCAGGTGTTTCTATATAGGTGCAGCCTGTATACACAAAAGTGATGTCTCCTTGGGGTTTCTCAAGTACCTCCTGCTCCACTGAGGTGGAAGAAAGCCAGGGCTGGCTCTTTGTCTTGGGGGAAGAGAGACTTTACCAAAGAAGCAAATGCGCACCAAGAAATCCATCAGCAGGCACCGTGTTGGAGACTGTTGCATTAATCTATCTAGCATTGCTTTCCATTATGTGGATATGACGTGTTGCTATGTGTGTTAATTCCAAATAAGTACTGGCATAGAATTGATGACTCTGATGTAGTGCAGGTGCAACAGCTGATATTCTGAGGGACTGTCTCCTGGCCTTGAAAATCTTAAATAGCTCTGTGTAGGTTATTGTCTTTCAAATTTGCTGTAAAAACATTGGGTTGGATCCCAATGGCTTTTCAACTACTGAGAAAGAAATGCAGGGTCCTCTGGGATCACACCCGAAAATGCTGCCCTGGGTATCATGGGACCTGCATGGACAAAAGTCATGTGAGACAAGGGCTGTAGTAAAGAGGGGAAATTGGGCAGGAATGAATGGCTGGATCTATCCCATTTGGAAGAGTCCAGTAGTACCTTAAAGGCTAACGAAATTTGTGGCAGGTATGAGCTTTCGTGAGTCACTGCTCGCTTTATCTGAAGAAGTGAGCAGTGACTCACAAAAGCTCATCCCCTGCCACAAATGTTGCTCGTCTTTAAGGTGCTACTGGACTCTTACTCTTTTCTACTACTACAGACAGACTAACACGGATTCCTATCCAGATCTATCTCCGCATGAATAATGTCAGCCTCTGTGACATGTTGCAGTGACTCATAAAGCTCGTACCTTTGTTTTTTTTAAAAAAATGTTTATTAAGAGGAAGTATAACATATCAAGAAATATAATAACTGCAAAACAGTATACAACTGTCCTGAAAATCCAAAATTACAAACCAACCAGTTAGTCATCAATACAGATTTTTACAACATACATCAACAGTCATAACAAACTAAGTTAGTACTAAATCTTTTTTTTTTTAAATAAAGATTTTATTGACTCTCCTAAAAAAGGGAGGTATTTCGCTTAAAAGGAAAAATGGGGGAGGGTATATAGTGGGAGAAAGAGAAAGCTGAGTGATATATTAACTAGTAAATTAAACTGTTAGTAATGTCCAAACATTCTTCTTAGGCTTCTTCTGTGTGTTGTCAAACATCTTTTTTTTTCAATCCAGTCACAAATAATTCTATGTTAGTATATTAGTAATGTTCCTTTGAATTTCTGTTAAAAAGTCTCTTCGGGGTGCATTCAGAACCGCTTCTTTGCGTGCTGGTTACTTTTACACTCCCGATGACATGGAGGAGCTTCCTCTGTTTTCCTCACCTTCCGGCTTTTTTCAATCGTCCTTCGGGTTGCTGTTAACTCTTTCAGTTCATGTGCTATAAATCCTCTTCCTTTCATGCCGTTTCAGGAGGTCTCCAGCTTTGAGAATGGTATTAAATTTCAATTTCGCTTTTATCCGCTCCCAATAAGTTAGTACTAAATCTGATCACCTATACATAGATGCTATGTGAACTATGATTCCCACAGAATTGAGTCAAGTGTAAAAGATAACATCTTCAGGAGTCTGCTGCTCTGATTCACAAGAGCAGTCTCGACAGTAAGGTGGAGGTCTGGTTAAACTCAAAAGTGTAGCCATGTGTGATAACTTGTCCTAGAAGGAAGCACATTATTTTCAGCCATGAAGTCAAGTACAGGGAACCAGGTACATACAAATTTATCATATGTTTTGCTGGAACTGTTTTGTGCTCGGTCCACAATATTAGAGATCTTATTCATCACGAACTGATCCCAGATCTTACCTTTGTGACAAATTTTGTTAGTCTTATTCTTTTCTGCTGCTACAGACAGATCAATGTGACTACCCATCTTGATCTAAATAAGTTTTGTATTTGAACATGTGAACACATGAAGCTATCTTATACTGAATCTGACCACTGATTCTTCAAGGTCAGTATCGTCTACTCAGATTGTAAGCGGCTTTCCAAGGTCTCAGGCAGAGGTCTGTCACATCACCTGTTGCCTGGTGCTTTAAACTGGAGATACCAGGGATTGAACCTGGGACCTTCTGCATGCCAAACAGATCCGCTACCACTGAGCCATAGCCCTTCCCTCAAATCTACTGATGCCGGTAGAATGTACTTCTACTGAGACTCACCAAGAGGCACTTGCAGTAAATGACTGCTTTAAATACTACCCAATGAAATTTCCGGGTGCTCTTTTATCTGGGGTTTGGGAAGGCCTGGGCTAGCATTCCTCTTGTTTGTTTTAAAATGGCTTGTTTTAAATGGTTTGTTTTTAATTGTTCAGCAACTTGAGGGGTCTAATTGGGTGGAAAGATAAAGGTTTCCCTTGCTCAAAGCCAGTCGAATCCGACTCTAGGGATGTGGTGCTCATCTCCGTTTCCAAGCCGAAGAGCCAGCGCTGTCCGAAGACGTTTCCGTGGTCATGTGGCCGACATGACTAGACGCCAAGGCGCACGGAACGCTGTTACCTTCCCGCCGAAGTGGTACCTATTTATCTACTTGCAATTTCTTGCTTTCGAACTGCTAGGTTGGCAGGAGATTGGGTGGAAAGGCAGGCTACAAATCATTTAAATGAAGAACAAAGTACCCTCCTAAGGGCCATTTCAGATTAATAGGAGCTTTAATAAAACCCCTCCCTCCTCTCACACTACTGCCCATTTCCAAATCGGATCCCTGTACGCCTAATCACTGAATTAAACAAAACCCACTGAAAGTTCCATTCATGGAACCCCCAGCATCTCCTCTGGTTCCTTCCTTTGGGGCATGGTTCTCAGCCTTATCCTTTTGAAGATGTGTCCAAGTATAACCAAAAGATGGCAGCAAAGACTCAAAGTTGTAGTTAA